ACGCATAAAGTTGTTAACTGAGTGCAATGACATCGATAATGAAGAAAAACATAATTTTTCCCGCGAACAATCTGGCGACCACAGTGAGAGCCAACAGCTTTACTACCGAAGCTGTCGCGTCGCAGCCGCGGATCCCGATCCCGGTCGAGGAGGAGGTCGAGTACGAATTCGACCAACAAAAGTTCGAGGAGTATCTGTCATCCTCGTCCGAATCCACCTCCCCTCGCAAGTCCAAGTCTCCAAAGCTCTCTTCCAAGAGAAAACTTCGTTGGTACGAAGAAGTTGAAGCTGCCAACGAAGATCTCGCCCCGTTTGATGCCGAAGCTGCATCGGGTGAGATCTCTCCTTCCAACCAGGTCAGATCTGCTCTGGCCGAATCTTCCGTTGCCGAGGGCGTAGTGACTCTCTAAAAGAGAGCCCGCCAAAGGCAACGTCAGCGCCTTGCGAAACAAATCGCAAAGGCAATGGAATCTGTGGACGGGATCCGTTACAACACGGATCTGAAGAACAGAAGAGGCGAACGACCTCAACAACCAATGAATGGCAACTCCTCCAAGCCACCAACGAACGAATGGATCCGTGTCAAACGGAACCGTTCAACGCTGGAGGATCGCATTCAGAAGCGCCGCGCACTCTCAGCACAAGCACGAGCTCAAGTTCAAGAAGCCCGTAGAAGGTGGCAGAATGGAGTAGCCAAGAAATCACCACTAACTCACAAAATATGGAGGCCAAAGTCCAAAGTGGTGAGTCAGGCCGAGGATCGACCTTTACAGCCTTCAAAACGAGTTCAACCTCCCGAACCATCCCGAGGAAGGAGGTCAATCTTGGAGCGCCTCGGTCCAATTCCCGACGAGCGCAACGAAGTCCATGAACGCTCGGGCCCGATGAAGAGGCTCCGAACTAATCAACATGCTGGGGGTCGACACAACCCTCAACATGACAAAGAGTTTACGGCACCCAAGCGCACTACCTTGCGCATCGAAGTTCGGGAGCCCGCTGAGAATTCATGTCTACAAAGGCGTGTTTCGAGGCGAGTGACTCTCGGAAGTCCAAATAAGGCAGTTTGCTCTCAGAAGGAAACGTTGTCATCCGAGGATGATAACGTTATACCTGGGAAATCATGCCAACACGCGATAGGTTACTCCGATCAAATGGACGAGTTGTACTATCGTGCTGGGGGTACGAACAAAACAAGAAAAAGAAGCCCTCAAGGGCTCGAAACTCAGTGCCCATGTGCCAAGCTCATTCGGGTAGTACTGTCTCAATGCAACTGCATCAAGGGAGTCCCCGA